TAGTAGTAGTAGTAGTAGTAGTAGTAGTAGTAGTAGTAGTAGTAGTACATCATAATGGTACTACTAGCAGTAGTAGTGCTAGTAGTACTAGTTGTCGTAGTAGTAGTAGTAGAAGAAGATGAAAGGGCAGCAATAGCAGAACAATAGTAAAGAAGTTGCTTTTCCCTTAGAGCTCCAAGTTTGCTTAATCCCACCCTCTAAACAATTGATACTATTCACTTCCCCATGTGCTTGTGTACTACCCCTCTGAAAAATTGTTTGGAGCAATGAAATCGTTTAGTTTTAATAAGCGTTATTGAAACAAAATTCCATGAATCAAGCAAACCTTTCCAGAGTTAAGGAAGGATTTGAAAGGGCAGCAATGGCAGAACAATAATAAAGGTAATTTTTCCTTAGGGCTCCAAGTGTGCTCATTAATCCCACCCTCTAAGCAATTGATATTATTCACTTCCCCTTGGGTTGGTGTACTACCCCCTTGACAAATTGTTTGGAGCAACTAAATTGCTGAGTTTTAGTAAGCGTGTTTGAAACCGATTTCCAAGTCAGAATTCCATGAATCAAGCAATCCTCAGGAGAGTTAAGTAAGGATTTTAAAGGGGGGAGCAATAGCAGAACAATAGAAAGGTAAACAAAACAACCCAAAATCACCCAGGGTGAAAAAAACTTGCTATTGTTCCCTCCCACTAAACTATTCAGGGTGTTGGAATAATTTGGCGAAAACTTTATATTATTCCCTCCCACCCACTTGACTAATTCGGATCCGACAATATTTATAGTTTAGTGTAGTTACTTTCTATTTTGTTTATTAAAGGTCCTTGGGAGTTTTGACCAACCAGCCTTGGCAGGCTACGAATCATAGCACCTCTTTTGTAACCTCTAGGATGGGAACTGCCGCAATAGTCAAACAGCACTCTTACAGGTTCAATGCAAAGCCTGTCGGCCAAAACATCCACACCTGTCGATATTTGGTGCCAAGATTGGTTGTGGTCCATTGTCCATTGATTGTGTATAATGCTACTGCTTGCTCGTGGCATCCGTAGTGCTTTTGCTATCTATGAGTTTGTGTTTGCTTTGTGGTGCTCGACACTGATGTTTCTGATCTCGCTGTAGTGTGTGATTTGTCCTGCCCGAGGTAGATGTTGTATTCTCAGTCAGTAAAATGACAACCTTGACAGAATCTGGCAGTGCTGAAACGTGGTCTCGTTCGTAGCGGGAGACATCAACATCAAGTTCCCTGTAGAAATCAGAAAGGTCTCCTCAAATCGTTGTTCATCAAAAACTTGGGGTTGAGTAGTCGTGCTCATGTCAAGTAGCCAATGCTTCTTTTACCAACTGGTGTGTAGAACCTTTGGTGCAGCTGCCTGTAGGTCTCGAATCCGTTGCAGTCGCCAATTGATTTGTGTCTCCCCGGCGTGATTCACTGCAAATTGGTGATCAGCGATGAACAAGCAACTAATTACTGCCTGACAATGCAATCAAGTATACAATGCGTGCTTGGGTGCGTTGTTGATGTCGATACGTCAATTGCCTGCAAATGCAGAAGGGGGGCCTTGATTTTGTTGAGCTTCTTGCATGCGAGTGCCTTTACATGTATTTTTACAAATCATTTCTGGCTGGGTAAAAGGTATGTCCCTCCCCGTTCTTATGAAATGCTCTTAAACACTGTTGTGAGACACAGTTGTTAGAGGTTTTGGCGAGGTACCCTTGCAATCACAATTGGTTTGGAGGCACTCTATATGCCAAACTCTGTGAGATGCCAGAGACACCAAGACGCTGCAGCACAGTGCAAAGCATCGCAGTTTCTGTCATGAGGTCATGCTGGGCATGAACAGGACTCAAGTTTCACAGAGCATCAGATTGCTCTAGGCACAAAACAATCGCAGTTTTGCATTCGGGTTTGTGGCCTTTCCATGTGTTCTTCCCAACACATTTATTGGTTTGGTTTGCATGAGCACTTGTGTTGACTTTGCGATCGCTGAGGAATGGGTTGATAAATACGGCGCGGCTCCTCAGAGCTCAGTGACAGCGCGGCCGAAAAATATGGATCGACAAGGAGTCTTGAACGAATTTGTTTCGAGTTCTTTCCTCCCGGACCAAAACCATTTCGTTGTTTTGCTCCGTGAGCATTCGTTTGATTTTTCTGTCGCAGTCCTAGGGGTTATAATTTGTGCTGTGCCGTCAGCTTTATTTGATTGCCTTTGGGTCGTTGTTCATTTCTCACTCGTTCATCCAAGGGAGTACTTCCGAAACGGCCGACCTGCTGGCTTGGGCGAGGGATTCATGATTCATCCAAATCTCTGATGGCAGCAGGTTTTCTAGGGTGGCACCAGTTCACCGCCCTTATACCGTTACCCAGAAGCCACTGGGCGAGGGATGTCGTTGGGAGCGCCAAGCGCTGGACAAACTTGGTTTCACAGTCTACTCATTTTTTGTGCCGTGAGAGGCGTGAAGGCTTGCAGTGTTGTGGTACAAATCGAGTGGCTTGGGAGGTATAACATCGAAATCAATGGATTATGTTCTACTGCATGGTCCCAACAAAAACAAATTCCGGCAATCTTGGAATTTCCGAAGGCAGTGACCTAAAGTCAAAAAATGTTTGGCGTTTGAAGCGACCCCCCGTGTAACACTTTGAGTGAAATTCTGCACCTGGACGGGGCCTTGGCTTGGTGTTGAACATCCATTTGGAAGCTAATGGGGTGCTCACTACGGATGTACAGGTTGTTGAAATGTATTGAACAACACTCATGAATACATTCAAGAAACGTAGGCAGAAAACATAGACAGGGAAGACAGCAGGGAGGCCTCCAAAAGCAAGGTCAGAGGTATCACTGACCTTATTTGGACTGTGATATCAACGTTGTTTTATGATGCATATATAGTTGATTCCGTCCAACTCTTTAGCAAGCCTGAATATGGAGAAAAAGAGTACGGTACGCAGAGGTACGCAGAGAGTCGACCAACAAGATAGCCGGTGCCAATAGTGATCCGAAACTCCAGGGCCCTGTGGAGGCCTTCCTGAGAATTGATGAACAAGAGCTATACGAGCAAGAGCATTAGGACACATATAGATGTACATACAGTACATGATATAATTAGTGATCCCCAAATTGCAGAGAACAATTTCAATGATTTCCTGCTAGGGGACCGGCCTTTTTCCTTAGCAAAGGTCTCAGACCGAACAGGCTCGACACAAGAAAAATGTTTCGCTCGGTCGACCTCAAAGGTGCAACTTGGTGGGTTTTTGTGTCGTGTTTGTTCAGCCACTCAGGTGGGATGGATATTCCAGGCGAGATCGCGTTCAGGACCGAAATCGCCGCAGTTCCCGGAGTGAACATCATCGGAGCTGTAAACAATGCCGCTGGGCGCGAGGCTGAGGGTGGCGTCGCCTTGATGCTGGCGCTGGCGGCAGCTGGAAGCTGAAGTGGGGGACCTTCATCTTCTCAAACACAGGCTGCTAGATCATTCACTACTTCAAATGTGTTTTGTGTGAAGATTTCAGTGTTTCCTGGAAAAAAAGGCAGATACTGATTGCATCTCAGCTCAAGCCGGCCAAAGTTGCTGGCGCTTCTTTGGGCTAAGCACGCCAACTGGCTGAGCGGCTGATCATTCAATGATGTTTTCTTTTCCAAATGGGTCTTCCAAAGGTCCAACACAAGATTCCCAAACAAATACACACACATGACTGGTATCCCTTCAATATATGTCAATATTGACAGACAGTGCTTTCAGAGTAGATGGCACTGGTACCCCAAGATGTTTTGAAAAGATGGAGGATCCAAATAAACCATCTAATTTGGGGGCCCTGATTGTGCCATCTACTCTCAATCTGCTCTAACAAGACTGATATCTCTTTAGTCATCCGGCTGAGCCTAGCCTGCTGGGCGACATGTTCTGCTAAGACAAGGCTTCTCCCGGGAGAATATGCAGCTCTTGGCTCTTGACATCGTAAACTGGTGTCTAGAGGACTGGAGGTTGTATACACAGCTTTCTTTTTTACACGGATGAGTCACCTTCACATAACATTGAATTATTACACTTATTGAAGCAGAGAGCCTCCACTGGACATTGTTGACTAATAGTTGTTCTTTGTCACTGTTACTGAACAGGTAAGAGCAGTTTGTACATGCCTTGATCATTGTTTCACATGAACGCCCGTTGCACAATTCTTTGCATGACTTGCACACCCCTGTTCAGGTTTGTTTGCAATCCATTGAAAGGATGGACGTGGTTTGGATGCATTTAGTATTTACCACAAGCGAGGGCGAGGAAATACATGCTATGCAGAGTATGTCAAGGCTGTCAAAGCGACTGATGGACACTCTGATTATTAGCTGTTCATCACGTTTCTGTGTGTAGGAACATATATCAGCAACAGCAAACAACCATGTTGTTCTTCTTGACTGGGCCTTTCCTTCAGAAGTAAGGAGTACTTCTAGATGATCCATGAATCTGTTGGGTTGCAAGAGCGCACGCCGTGTGTGAATCTGCAACAAGAGATTCAGAGTTTGTCAGAGTGATGTCCCTAATTTTAAAAGCCGCCCGTTGGTATAATTGTGTTCGGTTGTTTTCACACATCCGCGAGATCCGCTTAATGACGCAAGGATGAGGCAAGGCACGTCACGTTGAGCCAAGGCACGAAGTCAGGTGGAGAACGTCTTGCAGTCCTGGCTGGGTGGAGAACGTCAGTTGGATCGGGACAGCCTCTCGGCCCTGAAGAGAGAATCAAGCGAGGAGAACCAAGCGATTGCCGAGAATGAGTAGAAGGTGTATACGAGAGTCATACACATATAGCACATGCACAGCAGAAATATATACACAGAAAACATATAAAAATAACTATAGTCAGCACAAGAAAGGGCATCTTGGTGTCAATCTGAAACTTTGAGGAAGGCAGAATTCATTCTGGGATCATGTGCAGCAAGAAAGATTGGTATAGATGGGTCATGCTAGAGTGAGAAGTGAGCTCCATGTTTGCCTTGCCTTTCATTTCGTCGTCTGACACCTGGACCTGACGACGATGCGGACGACCTGAGGTTGCATCACGATCCTTCAGGCCGTCAGCTTGACCTTGCCGGAGGCCAATGCCATTGTCAAGGAGACATCATAAATAGACTCGTTGACCGTCTCGCCAGGTTCGCATCGCTTGTCGTGTCAGCTTTGCGAGGATATTGGCTATTAGGGGCCCTTAGGACATTCTGTGAAGCCTGAATCATTTCTTGGGAGATTGTTTTGTAACTCTAGGCAGTATGTAGTTCTTACAGTATTACATGCTCGAAGTTGTGGATAGTTCTGGTTTTGAGCGACATTCTTTGCCAACAATGTGAGACATAGTCTCCTGAAGCTGTCACTGTGCAGCAGATCTCTCCTTGGATTCCCCATCATTATGCATTGTGGCAAACAAACCCAACCTTCCTTGGATCAGGTGCCCCAAAAACAGTAGGTTTATGACACACAACAGAGCTCACGGCAAACTCAGCCTTTTGACACACAAACTGTGCCTTCGAAACCATGCCCCTTCACCGGCATGCAGCGGTTTCGCCTGAACGCCACGAGGCAAACATGCCGTTTCCTTCCCCTTGATGAAGACAACTCAGACTCAGACCAGTGAAAGAATAGACCATGAGCATGTAGTAGCCATACTCTAGCAACAAATGGCAGCAAAGCCGAGTTTTAGACAACAAACACCCTAGTAGCCATTTGGTTTACAGTAGTCTTGTCAAATGTCAGCAGATCTTCCAGCCGATCAGCGGGCTGCAGGACTTTGGTGCAGAGCGCTCACAGATCAGTTGCTTGGCTTTCAAATGCAGATGAGAAGCAATCGTTCTCGAGGAAGATCTTGGATACCAAATAAGCTGGGTAGCTCACCGGTGTTCATCGGTCCGAGTCGCAAAGTCTCCTCTCAAGGTAGGCACCAAAAAAATCGCCCCAAAGAAAGGGTGAGAGAAAACTCTTCCAGTCATCTCCCATAGATCTTTTCTGGAGAGTCGTTTTTTGTGGAAAACTAGGTTGCAGTTCATGAGCGGTTGGAGGTTGCTTAGCTTGGCCATCTTAAAACAATGTGACATTGAATCTGCCTTCGAGCTGAGCCCCTGCTGTACATCCTTTAGAGGGTCCAGAGGCACAGAGGCAGGCGCTTCATACATCACTGCAGAGCCTTGACTAAGGTTTGAAGGACTTCTTAGACATCTTTTTCCCTCGTCAGGTGCCGTTTTTTGTTTCAGCACAGAGATGTTGGCTCAGTGGTGCAAAGGCTGAAACATATGGAAATCATGTGGAAGCCACACAACCGTTTTAAGTAGTTTCAGGGTTGTTGCTGTCATGTGGGTCGCTCCGTCCGTCGTTTTCTTCCGCGCGACTTGGCTTCTGACCAGGAACCTCTCGATATGGCGACCCCGAGTGCTGCTGAAAACGGCGAGGTAGTGACTTCGCTGGATGATAGCTTGCAGGCCAGCAGGAATTCTCATGATCGTTGCTCAGAATGGCTAAGTGATGTTAAGTGTGCAAGAAATAAGAACTGTAGGTCGTTTCTGTCGTCGTATTCCACTTCTTACAAGTTTTTGCCAGTTGTTGCTACATGCTACAACGAGTTCATGAATTCGTAAAACGTAAGCAGCTGCTTGTACCAACCAAAATAACATGTTGAGCAGTTGGAAAACAACTTGTCATTGACCAACTCTCTTGTTTCCACTGAACCCTTTGTTGGAGGCAGACAATGAGATGCTGAAGAGGGAACTGCAAGAAACACAGGATTGCCACTGCTTGCAGCACAGTGGATAGCGCATGAATAGATTTCTGTTCATTGTACACTGTGGTGATTATGAGTTCTATCATTTGTTGGGTTGAGCAATTAGTGGGAACAAAGTTGCCACGCACACCGTTTGTGAAGTTGCATCCAAAGTTGTTTGACAGTTCAAGCTGGTGCCAAGCCTAACTTGTATGCATTGTTTCATGTGGCTACCACGGGTACATTCGGGTATATAAACGATACGGGTACAGAGTCTCCTCGCATTTTTGTGTCGGACGTTCTTCGTGCTTGCACTTATGCAGTGTTGCTCGCTCCTTGTGCACTTGATCGAAAGCACATTCACACAGCTGCTGTGGAGGCAAACAATGAAAGACTCAAGAAGCAACTACAGGAAGATCACAAGCAGGCCATAGCATGTCAACTTGTTGGTGCTGCCCGACGTACACCTCGTACTTTGCATCGCACTTGCTCCAACTCTTTGGTCTGGAAGGTAGACCTGGGTTGTGTTACATAGTGGAAAAAGGTGCAAACAGAGAAACACATAGAAGGACAACGAGATGCAGAAGGAAGGTACTGGGTGTTTTACCTTGTTGTTTGTTTAAAGATCAAGCATGTTTTAGAGATAGATATTGAGGCTTAGTATTGGGTGACCAGTGAACACGACACTCTAAAGGAACATGGTCTTGAGAGGACATGGTCCGCTTCCATGAGTGTCTAAGATAGGGGGATATCCTTGCATGATCTTGCATGTGTATACCATATGCCATAGACGCATTTGGGGCATTGAGATCCTGCTTGTTGCATGAATCAACTAACCCAGGTCAACATGTCAATTTATCTATCAGCAATTCTTTGCGTTGGCAGTTGGCAGGTCCTGTTCATGATCGAGGTCGTGGAAGCCCCAGAAGGAAGATCATTAGCAGTGTCCTCGTGCCCCATCGAGTTCGTTGGGGCCGGAGAATGACAACTCCCATAAGACAGCTCCCCACCGAGTTCGTTGGGTCCTTTGAATCAACCGAGATCTGCGATTGTGCCAACAGCTGCTTAGGAGATATATGTTGACAACAGATTGTTTGCATGTCTTCGATCTTTTCAGGTGGCATCATGTTGGAAGTGTCAAGTACTTCTGCAGTGTTTTAGTCAGGCCATCGATGACACGTCGTACTTCTTAACCGGTGCTGAAGGAAAGAGACACAATGACAATTAAACTTGATACATATGAAACAAAGATTACTGCCGGATAAGGCATGCATTTAAACCGTTTGAAACATTGACACATATGTCACAGAAATTGTGGATTGCCCCGCAGGTTTTCTTGTTGCATGATGGTGAAGCTTTCAGGGCCTGGGCAGCTACTCGATGTTGCAGGTTTACATGGGCTGCCCGGAAAGTCATTAAAACCCTTATGGGAAAACGCCATGCTATTGACATGAATCATTGAGGGGTCCATATAACATGTTGACCAATCATTCCGAATCATTGTTTGTTTCTGTGACCATCAAAATCCTGTCATGGGGTCACCCACATCTTTCTCACAGAGTCATTTTGGACGATGGAAGGGACCTTTGACCGAGGACAAGGCGAGCGGAGAGCGATTAGGCATTGTTCTCAAGAAAGAGGAGTGGGACGCGGCTGTCACAACTGGCACTTAAAAATGTTCTCGCAATATCTCGCAATCCCGAGGGGGCAAACAGTTTTTTGGGGTTTAAGAATGTCTTTCTTGACCAGATTCACCATCGGCTGACTCGAGTGTTGACATGTTTTTGTTGACAAACGCAAGACCCTGTCCGACTGAAAAGGCGCCAGCCATAGGTGAATTGTCAGTCCCATTCGGTCTGTAATGTGATGGTATAATTTACACATTTATACACCATGGATGCTTTGTGCTTGTAAGACCTTGAAAGGCCAACACCGGCAGGCGAAGGAGACATGTTCAACACATAATCAAACTCCTACTTTACTTTCCGGTTTGAGAAAAAACATACTGTAAACACATACTGCAAATTGTAGCCAGCAGCACAAGTCTGCAGACAGATCGCACGATCGCCCGATCGTCAGCCCACGTCAGGACCACCGACCTTTTCGAGTGAAGGACATCAAGGACGGATTGGTCCAGAAGTGGAACTTGAAGCACCCGGATAAGGCACGCGCGCGCGTGTCGGTTCGGGTCTGGGGCGGGGCACGCTGCCGAGCATCGAGAGTGCATGTTCTATTTGTTTCTAGGTTCAAACAAGTGTTCGAAACGCAAGAGAGATCAGGAACGAACATAGAAACTTATTGGGTGTTCAATTGGCGAGACTTGTTTTTCAATTCAATGTGGGAGCACCGATGAGAAATGCACTAGCAGGTACTGGCTCTTTCCAACAGCATGAACTTCTCTGGAAGCGGCATCACTGTGTTTAGCTTTATCCCGCTGATCAACGCCTCGAAAACCACGGCTTGCCTGGGGTGGACATAGTACGATGTTGGACCTCAGACAATCTCAAGCATACACCAACAAAAAAAATAGACGACAGTGTGTCCCGATGATGATGATGATGATGATGATGATCATGATCATGATCATGATCATGGTCATGAGATCATCTCATGATCACAAGGGTGCTAATACCAAGATAAGTAGATGTGACAATCTCAAGATATACCTGTCGGACACTCTTGCAGGGACACTCTTGTGGGACACCCTTAGTTCTTCCTGCGAAGCTGATGGAAAGCCAGTCAGGGACTGCATGATTCCGGATTTTGTGTAGATCTTTGAAGGGAGGAACAAGTAGATTCATGCAGGAACCCTTCCCGTGAAGGCGTATCATTATCTATCGTGCATGGTGTATCATGTTTCGCTTGCTTTCACCCACACCTGCTTTCAAGGTGTGTGATGTTTCTGATTTCTTCTCGCTTCAAGAAGGTCCACCCTGGCCACCCTCACCACCCTCACGCCCGGATCCTGGACCCACCGGCTTGGCGCCCGCTCCCCTCACCGTGACGGAACGGGTTTTCACGGTTGGGGTTGTTCGGCGTTCGCAGGCGGTGAGGCTGGGAGATTGGATCGTGGAAGTGAACGGCCTTCGGGATGTGGAACAGATTACGATGGAGTGCCAGAGAGACCAGGCCGACCTGGGGGCGTTGGTTGTCAGTTTGCTGTTGTAGTTGGATTTGGCAAGGAAACGGCTTGAGTTCATAATGAGTTCCACTCACTTGGCGGACTATAAGGGTGCTAGCTGGTGGTTGGTAATTCATGATTCCACAATACACCCTTTTCACTGGGGACAAGACACTGTAAAGCTTTTTCTGCATGAACTGTGTTTGTGATACTCAGCCAAGGCATGCCGGTGGAAAAGGTGGCTGGGAAAGTCGGGGGAGTGCAGACAACTCTGCTGGCCAAGCCAGAGCCAAGCTGATACCTGAATTCAGTAATGGATTGCCTTTTTAAATCAGGTTTTCGTAAAATAATGTCAGTAACAAATAATGTCATTAAGAAGTTGTGAATGGCCAATTTGGTTTTCGGAATGTCATTAACCAAATGTCATTCATTTAAGTTGGTGTCCAAATCCAACTGTCTTCTCCTGCCATTTGCCAACGCAGTTCCCTCTCGCGCGGCACCACCGGACGATGAGCACCGGAAGTTCGAGCAGCACCGGAGGTCCTCACGATCTGTGTGCAGCGGCCCTTGGGAGAGCAAGACTTAGAGGACCGATGACCCCACCATTGACGATACAAGGCTGAGAGGTATAATGTTGGCCACTGAAAGCTACCACAAGATGAGGTTTGTCATTTCTGAAACATCCTACTTGCAGTTTGGTTCTTTTGTGATCAGCCAAGCAGTCGATCCTTTGCATTGTAGCCGGGAAGGCGGGTGGTATGAACGGTATGAACTGTTGTAGCCGGTCCTGCATTGCGGGCTATAGAATGGAATGGAATGGCATGCTTGCCGTACAAAATGACTGAGTCAACTGCTATCTACGGCCATCTAGTACTTGTCGAACATCGACGAAGTCTGTCGAAGGCTATTCCACCTGCGTGCTTGATGCAGAAGTAAACAACACACCTCGTGACTCTTCGTGAAGAACAACATGCATTGTGAAAAGCCTTAGTTGATTCCTTACCTGGATACAACCTGCTTGGCCTCTGTTGATTCCTTACCTCAGTCATTTTGTCAAGGATGCAACTGCCCCCAACATATGCGTGGTTGAAGTCATGGTGACACTGGTCCGTCATGCGGACCGGTCCGTTGGGCATCTCCCAGGACGGCACGGCGAACGGCGGCGGTTGGGCGACCAGTGCTCCGCAGGGCGAGGATGAAGCTTTGGTGGACGAGAGCCTTCAGGCCTAGCGGAAGTCATTGGTTGGAGCCAGAAAAAGCTGGACGTGGTAGCGTCATTTGGTGTCCCTTTCATATTTTGTTTAGTCGGACCACCAAGTAATGGCCAGTTGTATGGCAATTTGGATGTAATTTGTGTTGAACAAGTGCGGTGTAGGTTAATTTGGCCCTTGGAGGCAGAGAATGGGAGGCTGAAGAAAGCACTGCGGGAAGCACAGGCCAGCTGCTGCTAGCACCTTCTTTAGCAGATGATGTTTGCAAGCAGTTCAATTGCTGCCCATGCGGTGTGTACTCCATGTTGTCATTGCACTCTTGAACATCAACATGCCACAAGCTGTTTGAGAAGTTGCTATGTTGTCAGTTTGAGCTCGTGCCAAGCCAAGTGATGTTCCCTTCTTTGATTGAAGTAGTTCCTAGTCCACCGAGGGTAGAGTCTCCTCATTGGCTACCATTTTGCTGCAAGGGACTTGTTTGATTCCAGTCCATCATGCAACGTTGCTCCCTGTGCTTCTTGCTGAGTAGATTTGACGCCACAATCGCACAGCTGCCTTCTTGTGGAGGCCGAACATGAGAGACTGTTGGAAGCTAAAATGCAGGCCATGCGACGTCAATTCCTGAGTTTGGCTCCCGACGTATATTTGGCGCTTGTTCCAGTTTCCAGAATTGTACGGACTTTCCAGTGATCAAGCCTCCCTCAGACACATACGGAGGCCGAACAATGGCATGACACGATGCTTTCTAGAGAAACATTATTTCTGCTAAGGCATGTTCCAGTTCTATGATGTTCTATGATGCTGTACGATAGGGTGTATCTTGCTTGTGACAAAGCAAGGGTGTCCTTTGGCTGCTGTTGTGTTTTGGATGGACAAGAAGAAAGCTTGATAATTTCGCTAAAGCTTGTGCTCTGAAGTGGAGCTTGGAGAATCCCGATCGCGCAAACTTCAAGTGCTCGCGCAAGTTTCACCTCAATTCACCAAGTGTTGAGTCCTTGACATTTCAACCATCACCTAAATGAGAAGATTCAATAAACAGGATGTACAGTAGGGATGCGCAGGTGTTCCCTTTGCATTGGTTCTTGTGCTAAATTTGCGCTGAAGCCAAAAGTAGTAGGAAGCTTGAAAGCTTGATTTCTTAATACTCCTCTCTTGACACACATTGGAATAGTTTGGCGAAAGCATGTGAACACAGCACAATGCGTGTTCTGGCTGCAATGTGCAAAAATAGTCTACTGGCATGAGATGCATGAAGGATAAGGATACTGTATATAATTCAGATTCGGTGTTAATGGGTATATAAGGCTATAAGAATCGTGTTGTAATGGTGTCAAGGATTGTTTGCCATGTTCCACGTCCGGCCATGACAAAAAAATAGAAACACGACGCCTGAATACGGCGGCTTTGTTTGTGGCTTTTCAACTCGTAGCAGCGCCGTTGTTGAAACACGTCGGCGAGGCTGAGGAAAGCCACGAGGCGCCGTGAAACGAGGAGGCGAAACGAGGTAAACATAAGAAGAACCTAGAGGCAATGGCCTCCAACCTAACAGCAATGGCCTCCCCCTACTAGCAATGGCCTCCAACCTAATAGCATGGGAGGAGTAGAGGCAATGAGAGGCGAGTAGAGGCGAGTAGAGGGACAGTAGGTAGACATCGCGTAGACGAGGCAATTAAGGGCCCTTCACTTTGTCTCACTGACTCTCCCTCCAATCATGGACATGGACGGCATGGCTATGGAAGTGGATGGCATGGCCGCTGGAAATATATGAGTGTTCCCTATAAAATGATGGGTCGTCCACTGCCATGTTTGTTGGAGACGCAATTCAAACATACCTGCCGAGCCCTACCGAGACCCCTGGCCAGGTGGAAGAGGTTCATCGGCACGGTGCTCACGTCACACTTTACATCACGCTCAAGGATCAGCCTGCAGTGACGGCTGATACAGCTGATATTGCATACCATGGACACATTCGAGAAGGCGCAACACGATGCGTCATCTCGTTTCCTGGGAAGTATCCATCCGGATGGGACGCACTCATCAAAGAGCATCATGACGGCAGCGTTGGCTGCGTTTTTTCTGTGCACCCCGGAAGATGGCCTTGGAAAACATGCGCAAGACCCTGATGCAGAAGAGGGCACTTGCTACTGCAAAGCCATCTATGGAGAGCGAGGTTGGAAGGAGTTTGGCTACCTCAAGGTTCTAAGGTGCCCTTACACGAAGGAAAAGATGCTGAAGGAGCAGGAGAAAGCAGCAGCAATGGGTATAGTTGTTGTTGGAGAAGATGCTAGTCCAGAAGAACGGAAGAAGGCTGAACAAGAAGCTGAGCAGAAGTACGAGGAGAATCAGAGAAGAGCACCTTGGGGTTGTTTATGGTTTAAAGTTTGGATGGGCAATGGTACCTACGCCACCGAGAAGAAGCAGAAACTGCAGGTGGTGTACTTTGCAGGGCAGAGAGGCGAGGGCAAGGTGGAGTGGGAACAACTGCCCACTGCCGATCTGTGGGACGGACATGGTCTGGGTGGGTCTCAAAAAGCTGAAGTGGCCTACCTGGACAAGATGAGGCAGAAGGATCCAGCATGGGATTATGAAGAAATCGATGTGGCTCGGTTCTTGCAGAGTGAGTTTCAGCTTGGAAAAGACGTTGATGCCTTTGACCACGAGAGATGCCAGTGGCGCAGAGGGTGGTTGGTGCAAGTTCCTGACATGAGCGAAAACGACGAGCTCACATGGATGGTCCAGTGCCATGAAGAGCAGCAGAGATTTAAGTCTGCACATGTGCGTCACACCACAGATCCGATCCACAAACTAGTGACCAGTGTGGCAGAGCAGCGATTCTTGCAGGGCATTCTGAAGCAAGCCTTGCCTGGGAATGTGCGCGTTGTGTTGGTCTCTGAAACGAGGCTGCTCAACGGAGATGCTGCTCTGGCAGTGGACGTTCATGTGCCACATGTCAAGGCAGGGATGCACAAAGGAAAGGGTGCGAATGGACATGAAGGAACATGGGTCAAAGCTATCTACACTCAAATTCATCATGGAAATTGATGGCGTGGCCCCGAAGACGACCATGTTCCTCTATAAACAGGTGGTGCCATCCACTTTCATGATTGTTTCAAGGAGGGTATAGAATCATTTGACACGGCACGATTTGGGAGACAATATATTATATATATATTATTCTGTGCATACTGATATACATACTGCTTGTGTTGCACTGGGCTGCGTCTTGTGAGCTGGTGTTTTTCCATGGATTCGCTGGGCGAAGATTTTTCAGCGGACTGGCGGAGTCCGTCGTCCGTCCATCAATTCGTCCGTGGAAAGTCCATGGTTGAGCATCACGTTTCTAGAGTTGATCAATCAAATGAATGGTGTTTCCAGGAAAGGACGTGATGCACCTAGCGATGCACTTGTGCAATGGAACCATGTTACAAGCATTTTATACAACGCGTAGCTACTTGCACCCGCAGACCCACTAAGGTGTCAATCCTTATGGCTTGCAGTGTGGAGTAATAATCAAGTTTCAGCGCAATTGATGACATAGTTCATTGGCACGGCGGCAGATTTGTGGGAGAGGTGCGAACATGGAAAAAACAATTCCCCCTGCATCCCTGTTGATCTCTGAAGTTCATGAACTTCAAGACGTACTGCACATGTGTCTAGAGTCTAGAGTCAATATGAGTCAATACTGAGCCACTATAGATGTCTTCACCAATATGGAGCCTGCATGTGTATGTTTCATGGTGTTCTTGGTCATCCTCCATGTTCCAGGCCATCCATGTACTTCGAGACCAGGTCCTGGCCGGTGACTCTGAAGCGTGGCTCAATTGGTCTCTGTCAAATGTGCACGGTGGCCAATTCCAAGTGCAAGTGGACAAGACCGAATTCTTTAAGCACTACGAGAAGAGCCTGCTGACCCTTTCAGAATTGACCTCGCATCAAAAAGCCAAGCTGGCCCAACTGCACAGGTTGGAGAGTAAAGAGGTGCATCTATCGGCTCCCGCAGGCGCAGGTAAGACTTTTGTCGCGGTGCAATTCGCGCTGGACAAAGTGTATGAAGACGAATCTCAAGAGCCGATCCTCTACGTTGCTCCTCGACCTTGCTTGGGACTGCATTTTGTTCAGTGGTTGATTGCAAGACATGAATCGTTGGAAGCCCAAGGTGGGCTTGAGATGAAGATTGAGGATTTGCTTGCCAGGATCGTGCTGATGCACAGACCATACGAGGAGTATGTCAAGTTAGTTCTACAAGGAAATTGTTTGATCGAGAATAGACTTGATGCCGCTCCAGACTTTGCACTGGCCATCTTTGACGAGGCACATGAGCTCTTCACATCAGATAGGATGAGCATGATTTACAAAGATGTGCGCGCTGGTCAGAAGCTGCTACTGTCCGACATCTCTCAATCTGCTGCTTTGCATCCTTCTTTCCCCAAGACCCAACACACCATGAGCCTTCAAGAAGTGGTGAGGAGCACCAAGCGCATCGTTGCAGCTGCGCTAGCATTCGAAGTGGAACACGATGAAGGTGTGACCACCAGCTGCTGCGGAACCAACGGCCCACCCCTCAAAACCTTCATGTTTGAGGCGGCTGATCGGTCGGAGGACGGTCGGCTGCTTGCGCAATACAGTCGGTCCACCATCCGAGCGATGTGTCATGTTCTCCGCACGTACCCCTGCTTGAGAAGCTGGCACCGGCGGATCGCCATCATTGTGCCACATGAGGAGTTCCGTGAGAAGTTCAAGCCGATGCTTCAAGAGGAACTCCATTCGACCTTCACGGCCCATTCGAGACTTCAGCTGAAATCCTTTGAGGAATCCTTGCGCTACTTACAGTCGAACAACGGAAGACCCACAGAGGATGAAGTCCTGGTTTTGGATACGATTGAAGAAGCACGCGGACAAGAGATGATGATTGTGATTTGCGTTGGCCTGGATGAGGAAATTCATGCTAGGGCTGATACTCTTTTGACTCGGGCCCGGATCTACCAAGGTATCACCAGAGCACAGCTCATGGCTATCGTCGTAGACAAGCTCGTAGAAGGAGGATGGCTTCAATTTCTTGCTACCCTCAAGTTCAACAACCAGGAGTTCAAGCAAAAGTTGGCTTTTGGTGAGGTAAGCCCCAAGGCTGCAAGCAACATCATCAAAAAGCGAGGAGAGACCGAGTGTTCTCCAGCGGTCCAGGACGGGGGTTCAGGAAGAAAACCGGCCAGTAGTAGCTGTGTGGCAACATGCTGCACCTTAGGGGAGTGGACCGACTGAATTCTTGTTTGCAGCTTCTGGACATTCTGAGCAAGAGCGTGGCTGCAGAGGTGTTGTGGTGGTGTATTGTAACATGTGTAGCTGTCTTCCTAGTTCAAAGCTTCATGCTGTTTATAGCTGATGCCGGTCACAGAGTAGTGTCCAGCTTCCGACAGAGGAGCATGGTGGCCCTGATCTGACCCAGTCCGAAATGAGCGCCGAGCACGGTGAGAGCCATGATGTGGCGGAGGACGGGAGACGGAGATGGTGACGCGCACGTCTTCAGACCGAGCGAGCTTCGTGGCGAGCAGAAGACAGAGAAACGAACCGAGCAGTAGATGCAGATGTCCACATCTGCATTTCCATAGCAATTATAATTAGGGCATTGAACTTGAGTAGACATGTCTTGGAAGGCTGCACGAAACAGGGGAAGTTGGACTTCAATATAACCCGAGTATATAAATGCAAAAGAAGCCCCGTCCGGTCCCAGCTGGGGAGGATTACCTGCTGAATTGCCCTCAGATCTGTCATGTTTCTTACCTGCTACCTACTCGAAGAATCAGGCTCGCACAGGGTCGGCGAGGCCGGTCGCGCACGTGGTCGGGACAGCTTCGGCCTTGCGACGCAACGGAAGGAACATGGTGAAGAAGCTTGGAGCAAGACGACGACACAGGACCGACCGGTTGATCCACCGGTTGACCGACCGGTCGGTCTTCTAACGCATCGGATGGGCCGTGAAAGGTCGTTTTCGTCCTGCAGCTGTGCCTGGAGATGTCCATGTCCATTTCTCCGGTATTGGTCGGAGATACAATACGGTACCTTCAGTCGGATATATGTGATTTGTCGGATTTTGGTGTTTCATCCTCACTACAGATATATAACTACCTCGATTACCTCAAGGAAAGGATATGACACTTGAAGCCACTGCAGTGGCACCGAGCTATACACCCAAACTCCAAGATGGTGATCAGATGAAAGGACCCGTCATCTTGGTGAGTGAGGGGAGGGCGGCAGATTGTTGGCTTGTGGATGGATTGAATCTCGGGAATTCCAAGCTCACATGGAATGCACAAAGCAGCGCGAAGCATTCATGCAGTGTTTACAGAGAGTCCTTATTCCTGCTGGTCGTATGCGCAAGAAATATCCATCTATCTGAAATCTACCCGAAACTTCCAATCTTTCATCCCCCAAAAAGACCTCTCTCAGCCCCAAACAGTCCCCACCTGTCGTAGGATCAAGAAGACGAGCAATTTGAGACATCCGTGTGGGATACCGACAGCAATGAGATCAGCGCCCGCCGGCGAAGCCAACGACTTCTCTTCGACCCGCGCATGCAGGCGACGTGCAGCATGCGTCACGCCTTTGTTTCAGCGTTGTCGACGTGGCAAGACGCACGGAACGAGCGATGTTTCACAGCGTCTTGAGCAGCATCTTGGTCCTGCTAGGCAGACTAGTGACTAGGACAAAGACTAGGACAAAGATTGCTGGCAAGATGTTCGCTGATGTGCCGTTTCAAACTGCAATTGAAGGTCCGTCAATCTTTATACCATGTGTATGTCAAATGTCTACTCTGGTGTATCAGAGTTGCTCCGCTTTTGTCGGCGTGATCGGCCAAAAAAGAGATATATAGTTTTTGCATGTTTTTGCATCGACCATCATAAATCCATCATGCTTGTCGACACAGGAGTCGCTGGCGAGTCAGTTTATCACTTACCAGGCCAGGTCATTTGTGACATTGTGTGACAAAAACCCTAGCCGCTGGCGCCTGGCAAGCGATTTTGAATCGTGCGCAAGCGAATGGCAGTCAGGATGGATCAACATACACTGGTAGTGTCAAGGATGGACGACGTCATGGTGACTGCCTTAGATGACGCAAGTTGATGAATGTTGATGAAAAGACTGACATCCTGACATGTCTTGTCTTAACTCAAGCGTTCACAAGCTTGATGAAACGACCCGACTTGTATCTGAGGACACGGTATATGGGAGAACAGCCAAGATTCCTATGAGGGGCAGTGGAAGGTTGGATGCTGCAGCTAGCGCTAGTCGGTGTGGCTGTGGCTCGTGAATTGCACCCACATGGCCCAATCGGAACCGACAGAATTAGAGGATCATAGGGGTTTCATCTGGTCCTTTCAGCTCTCAACCAGGGTTTTTTCATCTGTTCCGGTCTCCGGTTGGTCTCCGGTTGGTCTCCGGCCTGTCCGCAGCGTTTGAGCGGCGGTTGGCGCTGCGGACAGGCCGATCTGCAGCACGGCCACGGGCGTCAAATGTGGAACGATGGACGTGTCTACGAAGGACGCAACGGAGGGTCGCCGCTGGCGCCGCTCGGGAAAGAGGGGAAAGCTGCTTTTGAGGTTCGGTGTTTGGGCTGGGTGCCAGGAGGGTTCAAATACCTTCTGAGGAGTACTTGGATCCCTAGGGCATAGGAATTGCATGCTTTTTACCCGCTCCACCAAAGAGTCTCCACTGCCACACGTACACTGTCCTACCTGTTTGGCTGCCTGGCTGGAGGTGTCTCTGTTTGTTCTTCGGTTCTTCTCTCTTCTGTAAAGCCTGGCTGCTCCAAGTACATGAGGCTGAGAATCTCTTTCATGCTGAGACAGTGCTGAACGTCCTTTTGTTGATGCGATTTTGTTGCATTCGTTTTATCTCAGTTGCCTTCACAGTCTCCCTGTTGATAATCTTGCCACACATCTTATTAAAAGTTGGAAAGTTGACGCACACCTGTTTGTTGTCCCCCTGTAGCTTGTTTGCTCACAGCCTTGGTGCTCGATCACCTGTTGACTGTTTGGAGCATGAATGTTGGTACATCATTGCTGCCAGTTGTTGAAGTCGCCAGGTATTATTCAGACGCATGAAATGCCGCTTGTTGTCAGGCCTTTGCCTCTTGACGTTGTTATCCTACGGGGCACCTACAGGCACCAAAGTTTCTTGGTCAATGTTGAACTATGGAGGCACGTGAAAATGACCAAGAAACCGAGTGCCATAAATGAAGATGCATTGACACCAATTGTTGTTTTTTCCAGAGCCAGCAGCGGCCAAAGAGTTTCTCCCTCACAGTGAATGTTTGCCTGCAAATGCTGTTACTCTCACTGTAGTCCTGTAACTTGCTGAAACTGGCTGTTTGTCGATACCAATTACATTTAGCTGTCACCTTATGCACTGTGTGGAGATAATTACTGTAATCGCCGCTGTTGCCTGAGGAGTCCGTTCATAGCTTGCTGTTGACAATGCTGAATGGTGAGCATTGGTGATGCCCATACGTGTACACTCCCCGAAAACCATCATTTTCAGAGTGTGCCCCACCTGTATCCACATTTCGTCCGGTACTGTCATTGGTCAGTGGCCGTGTAGGGTTGCTGGGTTGTTATCAGCGCGTGATGTGTTATTTGTTTTTGCCCAATTGCCGCAAATGCCACTGATCATGTACTGTGCAAAGTGTACCGAGTACTGTTGCTGAATGTTGAGCCATCTCGTGCGAAGCGTCCAGGGTTGCTGGACTTGTAGAATATGTGTTGCTGGTTTGTTTTTGCTCTTGCCTGCGCCGCTTCCTTGGTTGCTTGTATGTCCACAGCTTTAATATGCTTTAACTGCCTAATCGTTATTGCCATCCTTTGTACTATTGCTTTCCATTGCCACTGCCAAATCCTCTGTTGAATTGTCCAATTCCTGCGCATCCGTTTCTGCAAAATCATGTCTTGCTTGTACTTGCCTTTGCCTTTGAAATATCATGAATGATCCAATGTCCATAGGCACTACTCCTGCCTTTACCTCTGGTTCTGAAGGGTTTCATCATGTGCTACGGGATCGCGTTGTGGGTTGTTACCTGGTACCAGCTTGCACTTGGTCGTATGGTGCTATATATAGTATGTGGTAATGGTTTAGGCCTGTCCTGCTCAAGCATGCGAGCTTTGCTTTGGTTGGGTGCGCTCTGAAAGCTGCTGCTTCTAGGCCATTTGTTGCACCGGGGAAGGCACACCGCACAGCACCTATTTGTAAAATCGTAGATCTTTTCTTTCCCGGTGTTTGTGCCTTTGTTGTGTTTTTTCGCTCTTTGCTTCTCCTGCTTTTGCTTCTCCTGTTGCGCTTCTCTTCTCACTTCTCACTCTCTTCTCTCCAGGGGTTCTCTTGTTGCGGCTCTGCTCGACTCTTCTCATGCCTGCTTTGTGATCTCCTTATGTTGCTTTTCCCACCGATTTGTCAGCTCCATATCTGCTGTGTAGGCCTTGATAGTGAAACGATGTAGAGTTGCCAATGCCCTTTCTGGAGATGTTGAAGCCTTCTGATCGTTTTTCTTTACATTGTTTCTGTGTGTGTTTGTGGCGATTGTTTGGCTGCCATGTAAAGATCCGAGACTGCTGCAAGCTCTGTTGTGCGCTTTGTTTTCTCTGCCTTGCGTTATAGTTGGCCTAAGACTCTGTACATGTGGCTCAGTGTTCTTGAGCCTTGTGCCAAGGTGCGTGAATGTTTTCTTGTGCTGAGACTGTATTATCTGTATTGAATCAATGAAGCTTGTATTTTCAAATGTTCTCCCACTAGTTTCTCGGTTTGCAGCTGTCAAGGACATTTCAAGCATGGCAAGTTTGGCGGACAGGGCAGGATGGTGCTCCTGGCGGTTTTTTTGCCGAAATTCTGTGTACAGCAGCAGTACTTAGACAAGTTAAAGAAGGGCAAGTACCACTTACTTCCAAGTTACCACCACCACCACTACCACTACTACTACTACTACTATTACTACTACTACTACTACTACTACTGGGTAGCTCGCATTTGCGTTTGATATTACTTTGACAAGAAGAGGAATGAACAAAAACACTTGACATCCAGGTCTGGCGTACTGCGAGGGGCATGCTGGTCTATGAGGGTCAGTACAAGGACAGCCATCACAGCCATCAGTGCCACGACGTCATCATTTGCTGATTTTGCACAGCGCTGTGATGGGTCCAGGATGATAAAAAGCACGGCAAGGGCAAGTTTACTTGGGCCGATGGCAAACCCTGCATGTTTCCTTCTCCTTGCTTTCCTCCTTGCCCATCAACTGGTCTTTGCGGCTTTTGATGCCCCATGTTTGTTTGCCGGTGTGTTTTTTTTTGTCAGTGGTGGCATGACGGGAAATGAACGAAATCCACATGTTCTGCTTGTTGCTGAACGTCTCAGCGCAACGCGACGGACGGCCAGGCCGCTTCTACGACGGCGAGTGGAGAGAGGGCCAGCGGCATGGCAGAGCACTGAGCACTGGTAAATCCATGGGACTGCAAATATGGCCAAAAGTGACGGGTGGTTTTTGGTGATGTTTTTATTTTTTTTCTGCCGCCATGATGCCGCCATAGAGTGTTTGGGAATTTTTGAGATGAAACATGGAAGTGCCGCAAAATGTAAAGTATCTAAGGCAGAGATCAGTGCTGCAAAATGTATGTTGGGTTTGTCCTATTACCTGTAACAGCCCTTACTAACCATCATCATCCACCGTTGCTGGCTTTACATGCTGCTCCTCTCAGAGGATGCTCGACCTCTCGATCTTTCTCCAACCCAGGTCACGGTATCTACTGCAACGTCCAGGGTGAGAGCCGAGTGGCAACCCCAGTCGTGAGGATGTTCGATTTGGTTCGGTTATCAAGGAATAGGATCTTTATATGCTGGTTGCAAGGGATTTGATGTTCAGCGACCTGTTTCGTTGCGAAAGCGAAGAAACACGGAAGATGCAGGACAGGATAGTTGATCCTTGGAATCGTGCCGCCCCCCTTTTTATGTAAAGCACGAAGGCTGGCGTCTGGCAGAATGACACTCTTTTAGAGTGGGACGAGGCGAGGGTTCAAGCGGAGGAGACCTGTGCCATATTTGTGGCAGGAATTGGTGATACCTGAATTTATAAGATGTTTAAACACATATTGGTTGGGGAGTCTCCCTAAGATTCAAATTCTATCAATGCAATATCTTTGGCAATTTGAAGGGTTTATGGCAAAGTTTGCTGTTCTTCGGACGTTGCCGTAAGGAGGATCCCCTATTTGAAGATATTGAAGCCAAAGCATGAGAACGGAATCTGCCAGATGGGTAGTGTTGTGTGGACAAATCATCACTTACTGTTGTATGGTATACAGTGTAGAGTCTACTAAATTGCGACGTTTCTGGGTTCTCACCAGCCTTGCAGTCCCCCCACAGAGATGAAAGCGTTCACCCACGGACAGGGTCATTACATTTTCTAGAACCCCAACAGAAGGAGCTTCTCATTGCCAATGGCACATCAAAATGCGCATCCAAAACAGGCGCCGGAGGCATGATCCACCACCTCCCGCGGATGGATGCAACGTTGATGATATGTACATAAGGGATCCGTCTCACCTGAACATCACGGACTCCAACATGGGGCCTGGATGTCTCATCTGAGGTTTAAATTTGACCAGCCCAAAGCAGTCTTTTTGTGCCAGTTCACTCGATCTACAGATACTTGAGGATTGCGAGGATACTTTCACGATAAAATTGAAATATGGAGTTGCTGCTTGCATCAATGCTGAAAAGAATGCTAATTATGTACTTTCGCAGGGCTATGGATTCAACATGATCCAACCTGGTCAGAAGAGCCTTCCCCAAGGCCCTCCATGGATTCATCCAACACCAAGTCGATACTTTATCGTTGGAGCCTATTCAGGCAAGTCTATTGTAGAACCGTTGAAGGGCTGCTTAGAGCAAGTCTTGGAGACTTGCAGTTGTGAGATTTAGTCTGAGGGTCTTCTTGGACTTTTCTTCCACGAGGGAAGAGCACTATGAAATACTTGATTCTTCAAAACCAGTGGGGCTCATCAGGGTGCTGACGACTATGGAATTCCTAAACTGAGATCAAGTCAAGGGGCTCCTTCCCTTTTTGGGTATCTAGGAACGATTGCTCGTGTTCTTCCAGGTAGGTGCCCCAATTGCTGACATACCCTTCCCAGCAAAGTTTATAGATACCGAATCCTATAGACTATGAATGTTCAGGTGTATGTTAAGATGTCATGATGTTAGCGACCATAGGGGTGGCTTGTGCTGTCACTTCGTTGAGCTTCAAAGACCACTGGTGGAACGGTATTCTGCACACCTTTGCAAACAACAGCTTAAAAGGGCTCAAAGAATTCGATGATTTGTGAGGGGACAAATGGGGTGTGCTCAAAACGCCAAATGGATCAAATGTATTGTGTTTCCTCGCAGCCACTGAGTGTGATCTCTTGGCGAGAACGGCGCTGGCCGGTGGATGCGCCGGCCGGTGCATCAGTCGTCCTTCCCAGGCCTCGAGCCCTCCTGTGGTGAACTCAGCGGTGGAGGTGCGGGTGTGGAGAAGGTGGGAGAGGTCATGAGAGGTCTCATTCTTTAGCGTCCTTGCTCCTAGTATTCATTGAAGTATCGATGCCAGGACACCCTAGTAGCATCCTTGCTCCTGGTAGTAATGCCAGGAGCCCCTAG